GGGACGATGCCTGATTTCTCGGGATGCTCCTCATCATGAGTTGGAACATAAATTCGGTCGGTCCCAGCAAGAAGGGATAATCCTGCTCACTATCACTACTAGTCCGACCGTTGTTTTGTGATACATTTGTTATTTAAGGTTCGGCATTACCAATGGAGCTGAAAGTGATCCGGGACCCCGGCGACGCTCGCGTGGAGTAAGTTACACCACATCTCTTAAGTGTGCGACATTGCAAGGTTATTTCTAGACGTCGCATGGTTGGGGGATACTGATCATGAAACTCTGAAGCATTGTTTTCGTCCACGGCTGGCATGGCGAGCAGCCCGGCTGGACCTCTGCCGCCAAATCAGTGTTCTGGCCAGAGAAGCTCTTTGCGAGCAAGGTTTCCGAGGCGCGCGTGTTCTCATTCGAGTACGATGTCACTCTCGAAACGTTCTGGAACGAGGAAGACCTCATCACCGAGCTTTCCAATGAGCTGATGGACCAGCTTATGGATCAACGCACCGAACCGGAGAAGGTTGCCCCGCCCCTCCCCTCTAACCTTCCCAGCTGCTGATGATACGACCAGGAGAAACGCGCTGTGATTCTTGTAGCGCATTGCCTTGGAGGGCTGATCTGCGAGAATGTAGGCTTCCTGGAGGGCGGTCCAGCCGCCCCCTCCCAAACACCCCCTGGAGCCAAATGTTAACAAACAAGCATAGGCGCTGGTTCGAGGAGCCGAGCACGACGACCGAAAAAGCCTCGTCAGCTGTGTCAAGGGGCTTCTTCTTCTCGGAACCCCACATTACCGCCCGGAAGTGTTGAGTGAAGCAAACAAGTACTTCGAGCTAGCGGGTGAAGAGGCCCCGAGTGAGTTTGGCCTGGAGGAAAAGTCGGAGTGGGTGCTGGGCATCCCGCGCGAGTTCGCTAAGCTCCGTGCCGCCGGGCTGGAGATGGACATCCAATGTTTCTACGAGGGATCTTCTACCGATCTCAACGGGAAAGGGGTCAAGATCGTGGAGATGGCCTTGGCGCGGTGCCCCGACGGGCCTCCCGCAGAGCGGCTGGCAGCCAACCATGTGAAGATGAGCCAGTTTGAGGATGAAAATGATCGCGACTTTGTCAAAGTACTGCGCGTCCTGAAGAAATGGGTGGCCAAGGTTCCTGCCCCCGAGAAGGATGGAGGTACTACAGTCAACAATGTCTCTCACGCCTCCTTTGCGGGATCGACGAACTCGGGGTACCAGTTGGGTCAGAATGTTGGTAACCAAAGTGGGTTCGTTTTTGGAAGAGCATAGTGGTGGAGTTGCTATCATGCGATGTTATGAAGATGATGAAATCGAGCTTTGAAGCTTTCTGGAATGATGATATCGTGCATCCAGTGCTGTTGTGTTACCTTGGAATTGTTCAGGCTGTGGGCGAGTAAGCAGGGTAGACGCAGTCGGGGGTGCGGAACCCCAGTTGGCGTAAGGCATGAAGTCTCGCGGCGTAGTTGATGCCCAGAATAGAGTTTCGCCTGTATAATGGTGACAAACCAGCCAGGAATCAAGGTGGTAGGTCTGCGATCAAGCCGATTAGTTGTCAGACGGGCCACTTGGAAGGCCGGGATCGAACATGGCCCTATGGCCCAACACACGGTCTAAGTGAGGGGTCATGGGAGGGGTTCCTCAAAGTTTGACAAGTGTATCACAGACCCACGGCAGCTAGAATCATGACAAACATTCATGACCCCCTGCTGTCGGATATACCCGGAGGGGTGCCATGCAGATAATCCCGTACGTGGGTATCTGCTATTGGTGTTGCTGCCAGCCGCGGGCGCTACGGTGGCTAGCTGACGAGACGGGAAAGCCCTGTGAGAGAGTGCCAACCTCAGCTTGCCGGCGTGTCCGACATGGCGCCGTTGGCTGTGCTGGAGATAGATTGCCGAGCACGGCAGCACCGAGCATTGCACCCTGGGCACGAAAAATCACAGGACCTGGGGTTGGAAGCCGTGTGTGGGCTAAGAACCAGTCCGTGCGATCGGTCGATCTTATCTGGTGTGAACTTCCCACCACAGGGCATTGTGGCCTTGAAACTGTCTCTCAGGGTTTGATCTCTTCTCTTGCTGACTCTGGACTACACATAGGCTGGACGAAGATGGCAATCGAACCAGCAAGCAACGCGTCGGCCGAGGCGTCCGACCTTGCCCAGTTGTGGCAAGGCGCCGTGGAAGATTATGAGAAGAGAACTGGGAAGAACCTGAGATTGGGTCCATTCAGAAGTATGAACGATGTGATGACAGGAACGGAAGGCCTTGCAACCAGATTCAAAGACTTTCGCGATGATAAATCGAAGATGGCCAAAGTCCGCACCGCGTTGAAGAACAACATGTGGATCATCCAGAAGGTCGTCAACACCATCCAGACGGTCGGAACTGCGGTTTCGGTGAGTTGGGATCATTTCACAACATGTGGCATCATTTTTGACTCGCAACCTTTAGGCATTTCCACCTGCCGTCCCGGCCAGTTTGATATTCACGGCCTTCGGCCAAGTCATGCAGGTATGCGATCATTGCGAGGAGGACGTCTATTGCATCAGCACATTTGACTGAATTGAGCCTAGTCATTCGCCGATACATCTGCAGACTATGACAAGATTATGGGGTTCTTCGAGTTCACACATCGCTTCTTCGATCGTCTTTCAATTATCGAGGAGAGAACTCCAGCTCTACCTCCGTTCCAACGATGCGTCACACGCGTCTTCTCCAGCATCCTCAAAATCTGCGCCGTCGCGCAGAAGTATGCCGCAGAGAAAAGATTCAGTATGTGCTTCCGCCTTGTTCTTCGAGCAATCTTTGAATTGTTGAAGCGTGGCTCATGCTAATTTCGCGCGTCAGAGAAATGGTTTGAGAATCTGGTAAAGGGAGCCGATGGAGATCTTACCGCAGCAAACACCGAGATGGAAGAAGCCATCAACGAGCTAAGCCAAGCCGTGGGCCTAGCGACACTGAGAACAGTCGAGATCATCGACGAGGTTGTCAAGAGCATGAACGGGCAGGTAGAATTCCTTGTCGCGAACGCCACCCTCCTCGATGAGCGCACCGAAGCAATCCAGTCGAACACCAATACCATCATGGAACAGAATCAGGATCTCGGGTCCAAGCAGGATGCGATGACGCAGTTGCAGAAAGAAACACTGGACATGGTGAGCGAGCAATCCCGGCTGTTCAGCAGCGTGGTTGGCTACTTCGGATCAGTCCAGATGGGCGAGAACTTTGGAGACAGTTTCAAGACCAGCGTGCTCAAGCTCGGGGTGGTAAGGCTGCGATTGGCGCGCTGGGGACAGTCGGTCGGCCTGGCCAATATCAATGATGTGCACTCCCTGGAGGAGTCCAAGCTATCACCTGACGACATACCCCGAGTATCTGAGCTGTTGGAAGGGATTCTCGACCAGTTTGCTGATGCTGAGAGAATCTCGAAGCGATTCCAGCTGCGTCATCGCAATGCGACCGCTGTTCTTGATCCTAACAAGGACCTGGACAAGGTCGCCGCATCGCTGCATCAGAAGATGAATGATCTCTCTCTTCGAAGACAAGGCAACTCGGATGCAGAGCCCACTAAAGAACTGACATTGTACGAAGAGAAGAATTTCACGAGACTCATCGAGGACATTAACGAGTTGGTAAATGACCTGGTCGAGTTGTTTCCGGGGATCGAGGATGCGCAACGCAAGCTGGCAGAGGAAGAGGTGTCGGAGATGAAGAGCATCAAGGGGGCGCTACCTATCCTGAAAGAAGTGGCAGCCGATCAAGACAATCTGTTGACTGAGACCGTTGTGAAGGTGATCCAACAAACCTCGACGACGACGTACACCAACTCGGTGGTTTTCTCAGGAAACAACTCGGGATTTCAAGTGGGAAACAACGCAGGGAGAATCAGCAACTTGCGGTGGAACTGAGGCAGGCAGGCAGGCAGGCAGGCAGCGAGCAGTGGTATCACAGAATTCTTCTCGGAGATCAAAGAACGGAATCATCTTATCACGATGTTCAAGAGATATAGGAGGTCAAGTGTTTATCGGAGTGATGATAAAGTAGCAGTGGCTGTGTGTTCTGCGGGGAGATGGAATGTAGAAATGTAGAATCCTGTTAACTACCGGTCGCGTACTTCGGCGTTATGTCGTGGAAAAGTTCCCAGAACAGTTAGTGATTGCTGGGTTATATTTATCAGAAGGGGAGGACTCGGTAACCAGCAGGACCGGTGGCGTACTTGGGAACACACTGGCTGATCGTAGAGGTAAATGCCCCCGGTCCTGCGTTCGAATCCCGGCGGTGGCACTTCCAGACGCTGGCTCTACCATTCCGGGATTCAACGGTATGAAAACACCCGGGGATAAGAGGGGTTTTCGTAGCACTGTTCGAGGTTATCCTCCAACAGTGCGAGCTTTTTGCTGTTTTATTTCTTATCTTATTTTCACCCCGTCAGCCACTGCAGATTACATGCGAAGTGTATTTCGAAACCGTGGTCATAACTCGACACCTATCACAACCGCGAGTTCTACTCGAGCGAGACCCGTCCTGCTAGACCTCGATACAAGTCGCTACCTCAACTATCTTCAAGAAGGCAAATCATGCTTCCGAATACCCTGTGCGATCCATATGAGACCATCTCTGACCTGCTCGTACCGAGAATCAAAAGCGGAGTCAAACTTGTTCATCTCGTCATGCGTTGTGTTGAGATATAGATGTCTAGCAATCTGTGTCCCCTACCGAGTTCTTGTCAACCAGCGACTTTGTCAACAGCACTAATGGGTATGTAATCACCTCGACATGCGTTCGTACAGAATTTGGCCCTTGCTCGTGGCCATAGACTGTCCGAAAGTCCTGACCGGTTCCCTCATATCGTCGCAAGGTAAGAAGTAACCAAGATGCCTCCTTGAAGTAAGCATCATCCGCCGCATGAGCCCCTCCACTATTGGCCAAGTAGCTTTCCAAGCCCTCGAGTCTGGCATCCATTTCCGGGGTACCCATATACAGGACCCCGCATGTGGACCTCTTAACCCCGTGAAACCTTCTATCGGGGTGGGAGGCGGAATAGAGCAATGCCTGCCGAGAAAGTGGTTGTAAACTATTTTGGCCGTCTTAGGGGACAGGGGCAGACATACACTCTTCACAATCGATCCTCCTGCGCTATGTGCAATGAATATGAGTGGACGTTGATGGGCCTATGCTCAGCTTGGTATAAACCTTCAACCCGGTAGACAAAAATTCACTCGTGTTTACCTTTGAGCTTTCTCGGTGTTGACACAGATCACTAACTAGTTTCTGTGATAGTACTTGCATCGAAAATTCTCTGCCAGCACAGCTCGAGTCCGGGGAGCTATATCCCCAGGAATATACATTGATATTTGGCATGTCTTGAGGAAGCACGTCTCTCAGCCAATTGACGCCAGACGCACTTGTCCAGGAGTCTTTGTGGTGGCCCTTCCATCCATGCACGGCGACAAGGCTAGTCTCGATTACTCAAAGATATAAGAATGAAGGTGGTTCGAGAATCAACGTACTCAATCTCTGGCTCCGGTGAGATATGTACAATAGTGAGATTGGTCCTGATATCATCTTCGTGTGGTGGCCCAGGTGAGTCCTGTTCTCAATCAGAGAAGATAAGATAGGGCCGATCGGGGGGAGCTGACGTTTCGAGCAGCTCCGGATTTCGCGAAGAACCGAATGCAGTTGAACGGCATGATGATATGATGAGAAATGCTTTTCGAACCCTTGCATTGTCTACCAAAAGCAAGTGGGGACTGAATTTGATACCAGACATCCCACATTGCTGGTCTGATGTTTTGGGTTCAGCCTGCGGTTGGGGTGGGGTAACTGCGGGTTCTGTCATGTATGTATTCATTCGGTTATGCACATAAGTCCCGTCTAGGTATAGTTGACTGTGCAAGTAATTGCCTTCCGTGCTATGTATCTGCCATTACGGACCGCTCATCGCTCAGAGGTCTTCACGTCATTGAATGTCGCTGTGGACGTACTTCATGTGCTGAAGCTGGAGGTGATCTTCGCTATAATCCAACTTGGTGACTATCATGCATTCTTCGCTCGCCACTATGTCCAATTATGGGTCAGGTTCCTGTAAATTGAGTCTCGGACAAGGATCTCCACTTGACACCGTATGCCTCAACGCAGTTTGATAGATCAGGTTAAGTATGGATTACCAGATCGTGGGACAGCAGAAGAAAGGTCAGAGCTATACCCAGGAATATAGACATTCAATCATCCAGAACTAGTGAAGTAGGCCGAACACCCCCTCAATACACAGAAACCATCCTGAAGAATCCAACGCTCAAACGCCATTACCTATACATCGCCGCCCTGCGTGAGAACGACCTACACCTGCGTAGATGACTGAGACTCTGAACTCCATAATTGTGTAGTATCGCCAGCGGGCAGCCCATAATACCACTGACCAAAGGTCTTTATAACATTCCAATCCTTCTTGCGAAGGTCAAATAAGCGCGTCGGACGCAATACTAGCGAGGTGCCGTTGAAATATGCCTCGACCAGTCGAGCATGTTGGGGTCCCATGAAGGAGAATAGCAGGACCTTTGTGGAACCGAGTCAGCAGCCGAGGATGGTCCAAGGGCATAAGTGAGCTTTACCGGTGCAGTCAGCTGCTCGATGAAGCGGACTCGCCTCAACTGCGCTATCATCAAGTGCAGGGCAACCATGACCTCGCCCCGCAGAATCTTGTTGTCTGTCCCGTTCATGTTGTGGTACGTAAATGCTTTGATATGTGTTTGTGAGCCCTCAGCGACCTGGATGGCCCATCTGGTCACCCATTCTGGAGACTGAAAATTGATGCAGGCCTTTGAAGGGCGTGTCGTCGATACTGTTCTCGCGTGGTGAGAAATAGGCGAGACACAAGTAGTATAGCATTGGCTGTAAGAATTGATAGAAGCTGCTGAGCACCTACCTGACTTCCGACCATCGTTCTCCAAGCTTATACAGCCCCTCATGCCCGGCACCGCGAAGGCAAGCGTAAGCATAACCAAGAACGAAATCTGTTAACCAATATGCACAGGTCATCGTGCTTTTATCGTCCGGGTGGAATGCATCGAAATCATGGAATTCTCGTCCTTCCTCTTCATAGGCATCACTCGGAGTCAGAAGTAGGGAGGCAGGACATGGGATAAAAAAGGCAGGCCTGGATTTTGGTTGGTCTAACTCCATGGGCAAAATGTCGATGTCATAAGTTTTCGCCGTGTCCTGATCGAATTCGAGGACTTGGGAGTCTTTGATTCGATTCGTTAGTGCACGCAGTGCATGCCGTAGCTGTCGGTGTTCTAGCGGCTCAAAAGCAGGCACGATCACAGAGATAAGCGACGAGCAACGAAGGGAGAGAGAGGCGCAAGTAATTTATTCTGCGGGTCCGGGTTTCACGCAAAGGCGGGGGGAGGTTGAAAGAAGGAAATGAGCTCAGGCTTTACCCGCCAAGTGCGCGATGGTTGCCGAGCGACCCGCTGATACAGTACGGCCGGGGCTCCCGAGTCTCAAAACAAGATAGTCTGCAAGCCTCGAAGACTGCATAAGCATTTCACTCCCCGGTTATTTCGTGCTTTATGGCTAGTCATAGATTTCAGATCTCAGGGGAATTTTTTTGTATCATTTATTCATGCTTGTTTCTTCAGGTCTGCTTCCTAGAACCGAAAAAAAGAAAACAAAAGGATATACCTGGCTGTGTTCACGGCTAGATTAGTGACTGACGGGAGTTAGTAGGGAAGATGCCCGATTCCTGTTCATGGAGACAAGCGCTGCCAATTTCATTTGGGGATTATGCCTAGCTATGTACATTGTATAAGTCGCAGTCAACCTGATTCCCCTCATTCCCCTCATTCCACACCTTTCCCCTCACGGTTTACCTTAACCAAGCCTCCTTACTATGAATAATCTTCTCCTGAACCAGTCGATCAAACACCCGGAAGTACCCATCCCCGACCGGGTACTCCTCCGTGAACCCCACACTCCGGATCTTATCCAAGCTCAGATCGCGGTCGTGAGCCAGGAAGCTCATGCCTGCGGCCAGGAAAACCCATGTCGCTGCGGGGATCTCGCGCGGGCGTAGATCGTACTCTTCACACATCTTCTTGTAGTCGTCCTGGTGCGCGATCCACCACTTGTCGGTGTCCGTCCAGCCCTTGACCTCGGGAGTGGGAGCTTGAGCAGTCAGACCGAAGTACTCGCACATCTTGGGCCAGACGATCGAGAACGGTGCGGGTGTGGCGTTGTCGGCCGTGTTGAAGGCCTGTCCGTGCGCCTGCTCCGGCTTCTCGAGCGAAAGGTAGAGCTCTGAGTGGGCGATAATATCCTGCGACGAGGGCGTATGCGAGTGGATGTAGTTCGCGTAGGAGCCGGGATAGACGGGGCTGGCTCCGGGGCCGTTCACGTAACGGTATAGCATCAGGTAGAGGGCGAGGGGTTCGACGTAGGTCATGCTGGTCGGGATCGGGACGTGGCCTGCCCATCGGCGGTGTCAGCGTGGGTCAGGATTCAGGAACTAGAAATGACGCACCCACAATCTGATCTGGTCGGACTTCGCACCATTTCCAGGACTTTCCCTTGTTAGCTTCCTTGACCAGATCGACCTGCGCATAGTAGAAGATCTCGTCGCCCCAGGGCGAAGGAATGCGCGGGTTATCCTCGCGCAAGGGAGGGTTGATCTCGATGTGTTCCTGGAAGCGAAAGACAGAGACTCCGTAATTCTGCGCAAAGTCAGCGGAAGCCCCCAAGTGTTATTTGGATAGTATATACGTTTGTTCCAGTTTGTAGCACAAAGAACTGCAGATTCTTGCACAGCTTGTCGACGGCGTGCACGGCGTTATATGTCATTTCCACGTTGATATCTCGGATTGCCATCACATCCATCGACCATGCAGTTGCATTGGAGTAGGCTGGTGTGGTAAGTAAGATTGTGATGAATCCTTTCCAGGCTTCTTACGTACCAAGATAATACACGTGGGTGACCGCTTCTAGGTTGGGAACCTTCTCTTGCAATCGGGCAACCACCTCGTCAAGAGTCCCTCGCAGATTCACGCCGCTGTGCAACTCCAGTCGAGGATCATCCGGTAATCCACTTTTCTCCAAAGGTAGAGGTTTGTTTGTCAAGCCAATCACTCTGCAGAAGGCGGTAGGTGTGGGGTAGGAGAGAGCGCAATTTGTGACGGCCCAGCCAGAGATCCCACTGGCTCCAAAGACCAATGCAACGTTCTTCAATTCAGCCATTGCGCTGCTGTGTGTGCCTTTCTTCTCGACAAGACAATGAGGCGTCTGCGGCCACAGGCTCCTTTTTCGGTCTTTGTGAGAAGAGGGGCAGTATTTATTAAGGACAGCATCCTCGGCTGCCGAGCTATCGGAGCTGTCAATGATTCATTAGGCCCGAGCCCTTATCTGTCTACCAAGCAGCTACTGAATCATACCCTGGTCTGTGTTTACGAAGCTATGGCCTACGACCGGCTTAGACTCCGAATGCTTTGGCTCTATTCGTGGAAGCCAGACAGAGCCGAGGTCCGCGGAAATGTCAACCGACTAAGCGCTAGCCGATCGATATTTGCCCCAATCGCTACCTGTGGTTTGCCTGGGCTATGTGGAGTATGTGGATAACAATATCATGCCATTTCACCACATAAATTGCTTTAAATTAACCCTACCAGGCGCAGAGTAAGGGGCCTCCCGTCCACTGATAGCGGCAGGCACCGAGGTTCCCCATCCTGCCCTGTGGATTTGATGGCAACCCCCGAAGGCTTGTTACAACCAATTTTCCCCTTTCAAATTAAATCCCAGGTGCAAGGATCACTTGTTTCGTTCTTCAAACAAAGGTTTTGCTGCACGGAGGCCTATCATTCGGAATGTTGTTGGCTGGTGATTGTGCCCACAGTGGGACCGGTCAATCGATGTGTCCCTAACCATAGCAAACTGCTACCCTAGCAAAGAAATTATAAGTGGAGCTCCCATGAAATAATCTCAGAAGAGCTAATGTCGATTCAAATTTTGGATATTATTCGCCGAGAGCCTTATACCCTGCCTAGCTTCTCTGACCGCTGCACACTAGTATCCTAGGGCTTACTAGGGCTTCCTCTGTAGCCCTCAACTCCACTCACAATCTGAAAGCACCCAGCCAGGTTCGAAGCTCTTGCTTCCCAAATCCCTTGACTGATGGATTGACAAGGATGTAAATTGTTTCTGCTGTTGGCCAGACACTCCGGACCAGGCCACGGCAGGTCAGACAGCATGGCGACTCATACTTAGCCTGCCAACGCCCCTGGCCGTGCTTTGCTTCATGGCACTTCATCCACCCGTCGAAAATGAATGTCGCCCAAAGGTCAGCACTCCCAGAAGATATCTCCAAGACGCGACATGCGGCAATTTTTGGCGTGGGCATCGGATTCATTGTGTTTGACTCCATCGTCGTCGCGCTGCGCATTTATGCTCGCGCTTTCATGCTGCGCGCCCTGGGAGCGGACGATAGTAAGTCTTCAAGACCCTCAACTCGTGGGACTCAACTAAAAAGCATGTCTAGTTCTGATGATAATCGGGGCGGTAAGCGACATGAGACCCCACGACCAGCGATCTCTACTCACACTCAGTTCATCAGATACTCAACTTTGGATTATCCATCACAATCATGACCGGCTCGCGGTATGGGATCGGAAAACATGCGCTTGCCATAACGGAAAGCGACACCGTGCCTATGCTAAAGGTAAGCCCTGATATCTTCCTTCATTAAGAGGTAGAGCATTGTCTAACTCTAGCCACCGGCAAGTGCATATGGGTGACACGTTTCTTTTACACGCTTTCCATGGGGCTGGTCAAGATGTCCTTACTGTGGTTCTACCTACGTCTGGATCCCCGGAGATTCATGCGCTGGGCTGTCTTCTTCGTTATATTCCTCAATATCGGTCTTTCCCTCGCAAGCTTCATCGGGTCACTCGCCAGCTGCAGACCTCCATCCTTGTTCTGGACGAGCCCAACAGGAGATAGCCGCTGCATGTCCCTAGGCGCGCAGCAACTCTTCTACGAAGTTAACGGCGTCTTGAATATTGTGACAGACATCCTGATCTACCTCCTCCCGGTTCCAATGCTCTACGGCTTACAGGTGACCTGGCGTAAGAAGGGGGCCATCCTGGCGATCTTCGGGCTGGGGATTCTGTCCATTGCTGGTTTGTATTATCCTACCATCCAAGAAACCCACATGAGTTTCTACTAATATCTATGCTACAACCTAGCGGCCTGTGTTCGCTACAATTTCGTGAGGAGACTTGCTTCCGCCAAAGAGGAGTATTACCTCCTTCTGGCTGACTCTCTCAACTGGTGCACGATTGAGGCTTACGTCGGTACGTAATCGCGTCCCTTCCCCATTCCAATCAGAGGATCTGTCTCGCTCTAACACTAGACTGTGTTCATCAATTTCAGCTATTTTCTGCGGCTGCGCCCCTTCACTCTCCGTTCTGATCAAGGCGTACGCCCCCTCAATCTTCGGCTCCAGCACGGCCAGAATTTCCCACAGCGCGCAGTTTCCCGGAGCGGGTGATCTGCAGCAACGCAGCGCTCGGAAAGCCAATCGGCGTCGGGGTCTGGCCGATACGACGCTGGGGAGCCAGGATGCCATCGTTACTGGCAGCACCCCTGATCAACTGGATCAGGACGGGATCGCGATGAAGACAATTATACAGACGTATGTTACCACGCGGGGATCGACAGAGGAGGAAAGTCATCGGAGAGAGTATTAAGATCTTGCGAGGCGGACGTGGTGCTTCATGCCACCGCATGGAGAGTCGAATGGCGCACGTTCATGTAAGAAAGGCACAAAATCGGCCTGGCAAGTGAGCCACTGTGCAGTACTGCATGCCACAGCCCCCACCCCTCAATCTCCCCTCTGGCCGGGTCAGAAGCACAAACCACCGGCTCTAATGAGCCTATGACATTCCTTTCGATCTCTATTGATCCTCTTGCACGGGGCTTGTAGATTAGGTATGGGCTGGTGGGGGTGGGGGCGGTGCCGGAGCGGTCCGCCGGCGGGCTTCCTTGGTTGGTGGTTAAACAAAAAAAAAGAAAGAAATCAATTCCTGGGCGGGGGATACTAGCTATCGTGTCTCGTGCATGCAACGTGGGGGCTGAGTGCTGTCGCCGTATCAGGATTAGATTCGATGATTAGTGCTTACATAGTGGGTGCTTATCAGAACCAGATGCACCGGGCAATACCTTACCCGAGTCAATTGTCTGTGCGAAGTGTTCCTCCCGAACCATGCGGATCCTGGTGTAAAAGGTTATACCATCGACAGTCCAGAATGGCAGTGCCTGGCCTGGTTATCCGTCTGCATCTGTTGGGCTAGAGCAATCGATGGTTTGAGGGGGTGGTAGTGGCTGATTCACTATGCTTCCGGGTTCGACCAGCTGGTCAATGTTGGATGCTACCCCTGGACCGATATTACAGAGTATTAGGAAGTGGGAGAAGGGGTGAACAGCAGCTGTAAGTTAGCGGCTATCGAAAGACTGCCACCCAGCAGGAATAATAAGTAAGCACTAGGTCCCTTAGCTTAGTTTGTGTAGGAACGTTCCCTAGTGTTGCCAGTGAGTGCTGTACCGGATACCACACCGTACCACACCGTACCACACCGTACCACACCGTACCATACAATACAATACACCAACTGAAAAACGTGAGTTCTACTAAGCCCGATCATGGATCCGCCTTGTCAGACGGGAACACAGGCCAATGCACTGAGACGAGCCGTAACAGCCGTGTTGCTAGCCTGGTCTACCGAGCAGCTAGCTACCGAACACAGTGGTGAATTTCTCCGCTTACACGGACTGTCTCCCATAGACCCAAGGAGGCTGGCTCCGAGGGTGTGAATGTCCGTGCGGACCCAGCAGCCCAGCCCAACTGCTCCGAACCGCCTTTGCAGTACCTGCCTCCTGTCCAGGCATCGGATTCGAGGCCGCTTCACAGCAAACTTGGAATTGGCCATAACAAGCGCCGTGGATGGTTGCTTACGGCGTCTGACTACCTACCCCATTCACTGGTGAAAGTCCGAAGATCGGTGACTGCGTCGTCCCGCGAAGAATTCATCTCCTTATGTACTGCGCATGTCCAATATGTACTGTGCGTACTATCCAACCTCAAGCAAAAAAAGAAAAATAAAAAAGTCTAGTACTCCCCCGGGGAGTACGAGATCTCATAACCCAATGAACCCCTAGCAGCAAAGTATGTATTGTACACTAAGACACCCCACAGCGCCAATATCAAGCATAAAGTCCACCACGAACCCTAGACGTTCGGCTCGCTCAGCACCTCAAACCGCGTCTGGACGCGGATATCGCCAGGCTCCCGCTCGGCCAGCCGGTCCGCCAGCTCGGACTCGGACGGGGTCGAATCCATCTTGACGACGACGGTGGTGAGCACGCTGGCCCTCTCGCGCGAATCCTGCCCCTCGCCCCGCGACGCCGGATCGCCGGGCGTGGAAAGCGAGGCATACGGCCGACGATGACGACGGGGTCCGCCGCGGGATTGGTATTGGAGGAGGATCGGGGCGCGGGACGACGACCCGCCGGATTTGCTCCCGCCCGCCCTGACGCTGCTGCTGCTGCTGCTGCTGCTGCTGCTCCGCCCCGTCAGACGCCCCGCCCTCTCGTGCACCCACGGGATCAATTTGCCAAAGACCGGCCGGAGGCCGATCAGGCACGCGGCCGAGAAGTACATGCCGCATTCGACGGCGGTCCAGGAGAAGGCTTCGTCTGCGTCTGGGTCGGGGGGTGGACGTGTGAGAAAGGAGAAGAACTTTTCCAGAGCGGGTTGGAGGTAAGAGACTCACAGGTGGGATCGGTGACGATCAGATTCGAATCGGAGAAGAAAACACTCGTCCGCATACAGGACGCGATCAATCCACTGACGGAGCAGAACGGAGAAAGAGGGGAGTGTTAGTCGGGACGGTCTTTTCGTGAGGAGAGGGGGGGGTTCACGTACATACTCCCCGTCAGAAAGACGGTTGCAATGCCGGCTTTGCGGCTGAAGGACGCCTGCAGGCCCCAGACCGTGGGGACTGGTAAGGCCATCACCAGCACATCGCCGATGACGTTGGGCAGATTGGTCAGGTTGTACCAGAGGATCTGGTTGAAGCAGTGGCCGCCGCGGATGGTCTTGTCCCAGGTGAATTGCAGCGGGAAGCATTCGACCTGCGCGGCGATGATCGTCGCGATCATGTTTCCCAGCAGGAAGGCGATCACCCCCCAGCAGGCGGCCCGGTACAGGGGTTGCGTGAAGATCCGGAGGTAGAGCGCGACGACCGAGATGCGCGACATGGCGTTGGAGGGCACGTAGAACCAGTCCAGCACGTAGAGGAGCTCGAGGAAGGTCACGAGCTTCTGCGGATCTTCCTGTTCGACGGCGGCGCCATGGCGACCGAGCCCTCCTTTGATCACGTCGACTACCGAATGGAGAATACTTAGTCGGGCCCGTAGGCCTTTTGTTGCCAATTGAAAAGACCGCATCCAGGACTGGGGGGGGGACTCACGGTAAAGGCATACGAGCAGGCCCAACAGACAAAGGTAGGAGGGGACGAGGAGGAACTCGTCCCAGCCACGAGAAGCAGTGGTCAGGCTGCGTGCATACAGCCTCAGGGCTAGCAGGATCGTGGTGAAGACCAGGATAAAGCTGACAGCCGCCATGACCCGACTGCCATGATCAACCTCCAGCCATCCAGCAGGATAGCTGCTTGATTGTGCAGACATGATCGCGCGAAGAATGAGACGGCGGGAATTCCCCCTGCGAAGCGCAAGACAACAACGTGAGCAAATGGGTTGATTCCCTTGGGTTGGTTCCGGAATGACATCCAGCGAGCTTATAATCCATGGTGAAGCGGGGCTTGCAGCGCAGTCATGATGCCCGCATCAGCCATCCAACATCCAACGCCTGCGATCCTTGCTTCCAGGGCAGCAGTGTTGGCTTTTACTCTCTGCGCCTTTCACGCTACTGACTAGCTTGGGGGTCGTGTCTGCAGGCAGGTGTCAGCAGCTACTTGGGGCGGTGATTCCCCTGCAATCTCTAATGCAGCTACTGCGTGCTAATGCATACGAAGTACAGTACAGTACGTACGCAAATTGGTCAGATGAATAATAAGACCCCAAATTAGTGGTTTACAGAACTAGGAAGAAGAGAGTACTACGGGAGCAAGTCAACTTCAAACATACTAGGCATGAAGGCTCAATTAAAGTATCAGGGCGAAAGGCTCCATAGGCACATCGGTCCTCCAAACCCATACCTGCACCTAAATCTAAACCTTCTCTGCTTCCCTTTGATCCAAGTAAAATTGTACCACGTCCTTGACCGCATCCTCGAACGGACGGAATTGCACATCCAGGGATCTCTCCGTCTCACTGGAATCGTAGGCGATCGGGAGGGTAGGCAAGTTGGCCTGCTTGAGCTGGCCGGCCGCCACCGCGCCCGGAAAGTTCTTTTCCACGATGCGCCAGGCGTCCGAGTAATCGACGAGCGAGCAGGCGCCGAAGCTGTGCGGGGCGGCTCCTGCTGCGGTGGGGTCCAGCTGCAGGACCTTCAGGTAGACCTGCGCCAGATCATCGATGTGGACGTACCCGCCGTGGATGGGGGCGGGGCAGTCGATGCCCGTCACGCTGCGCAGCAGGATTCCACAGGAGCTGCCCTTGGCGATGGCTGCGTCGGCACTCAGCACCAACCCATCGCGCCCGTAGACGTAGCCGGGGATCACGCGGGCCACCGAGAATGACGGCTTCTCTTGCTCCACAAATGCGTCTGTCTCGTTGAGCTCCATGATCTTGCCCAGGACGTAGGCCTCAAACACGTTGGAGAAGGTGTCGGGGATTCCCGGCAGGGTCACGCGGGAGGTGGCGGTGACGGTGATGGAGGGATCGGGCATAGGGGCCATGTTGGCGACGATGGAGGAGGTGACCAGCACACGCTTGATGGTGGGGAACTTGAGGGCGGACTTCAACAGGTTGGAGGTGCCCTCGACGGTGGGCTTCCAGACTTGGGTGAGGGGATCGAAGTCGGGCACGGGCACTGGCGACCCCGTGTGGATCACGTATGTCGCATCGTTCAGCGCAGCGTCAAATGCATCCTTCGCAAGGATGTCCGGGACGACGGTGTAGGTCAGCCGGTCCCCGGGATTCAGTCTCTGGATAACAGGATTGGAGAGGATGATTTGGGCCTTTTCCTCGGAGCGCACAGTGACCCGGACGGTATAGTCGGTTTTCTGGAGAAGTTCTTGAAGTATCCGGAATCCGATCAGGCCAGTGGCACCAGTGAGGAGGACAAGAGGAGGAGCCATGATGTGATTGAGACGGAAGAAGAAGTAGGTTCGAGTTACAGTTGGAGTTGGATGATGGATAAGTGCAAAGCAATGAAAAGAGAGGGAAGGGGGGGAGGAATGGGAGAGGAAGTTTGAAGAAAAAGGGAAGAGGGAAAGGGAGAGAGGGGCTCAGAATGAGGATGAGGGAAGCAATATTTATACGGGCATTATAGGGAACAGTGGAACAGTGGAGTAGTGGAACAGTGAATAGTGGAACAATTGCAACCTTAGATGTCTGTCTCTCAGTGATCGGGTGGGCTGTGCCTTGCAGCTAAATTGCAGCTAAAGGGCAGCTAAATAGCGGGCGGATCAAGCCTCCTTCTTTGTTGCTTACTTGGTTTCCAACTAGTAAGTTAACTACCTACTGTACCCTGTACTGTACTTGCTTGCATACATTACGTGTCTCGGACGGTACTTCTACACATACTAGTCACTAGAACTAGGACTAGTCGCTAGCCAGATATTTTGGATGTCAAGTCTTCCTGCTCTCACGGTGCAGCACATACTCTAACTCATAGACCTGTATCCTGTATCCTGTATCCTGTATCTAGTGCTTACCCTTGATAGGCCCCCTCTGGTAGGCCCCTGTTCCTTCTGATGCGTCCGCTACTACATGCATGGGGGCTTTAATACCCCAGCTCACTCCCAACCCTCGGTGGTACACACATTCACCTCCCCATTCTACACCATGGATCCTCGCAAGACTGACGCCATTCACAATGAGCGCTTTGTGAAGATCATTTGTGTGGGTGCTGGTGCATCGGGTCTCTGTCTAGCGTACAAGCTCCAGCGATCTTTCAGACAATTCTCTCTCACAGTATGTACATGTACTTCTACTGTACTTGCCCAAGCCAGCCGAAAAGACCCAGATCGTGCTAACGTGGAGTGAGTGAGACAGATCTACGAGAAGAACCCCGATGTCTCCGGCACATGGTATGAGAATCGCTATCCAGGCTGCGCGTGCGACGTCCCCTCCCACAACTACGCCTACTCGTTCGAGCCGAAACTCGACTGGTCCAGTGTCTATGCAGGCTCCGCCGAGATCCGACAGTATCTCCGAGGGTTTGCCACCCGGCACAATCTCTGGCAGTACATCAAGCCCTCCCATCGGGTGGTGGAAACCCGCTGGATCGAGGCGAGTGGGAAGTGGGAAGTCCAGGTCACGGACCTGGCCTCGGGCCACGTTCTCCACGACTGGTGTCATATCCTCGTGCACGCGACGGGCTACTTGAATCAGCCCGCTTGGCCCCAGATCCCCGGCTGGGAGGATTACACGGGGATCACGCTTCATAGCGCCGACTACGATGAAACGGTCTCCTTGGCGGGGAAAGATGTCCTCCTGATCGGCGCGGGTTCCTCGGCGGTGCAGATCCTACCGGCCATTCAACCGATTGTCAACCGGGTCAAGATCTTCATCCGTTCCCCAACGTGGTTGCTGCCCGATATCAGTAGCGAGGCGGGACATTTCTCGCCGGAACAGATCGCCCGGTTTGTTGAACACCCGGAGAGCGTACAGCGGCTGCGCCTCGAGAATGAGCGCACGATGAACAGTATCTTCAGTAAGCGCTCTCCCCCGGCATTTGGGCTCTGGACCGGATGACTGGGACTCGCTCTAGACAACACAAACTAACATCCGGGGGGTGGGGGTGCTTGGCAGCCATGTATCTCCGGGACACCGTCCTCCAGCGTCAAAGTCGCGAGCTCCTGGAGTCTGTAATGCGGAAAGGTCTGCCGAAGGAGGAGCTGCAGCGACGACTCATTCCCACCTTTGCCGTCGGCTGCAAGCGCGTGGTACCGTCCGGCTTCCGGTACCTCGAGACCCTGTCGAAAGCCAACGTCGAGATCGTCTACGGCGGGGTGTCGTCCGTCTCGGCGACGGGCTGCTGCAGCGAGGACGGGACGGCGCACCGCGGCGATGTCATCCTCTGCGCCACCGGCTTCGACACCTCGTATATCCCGCGCTACCCGATCCTGGGCCCCGGGGGACGCAACCTGCAAGCCGAGTGGGCCCAGGAGATCGTGGGCTACATGGGCGTGGGCATCTCGGAGTTCCCCAACACCTTCACCATGCTCGGGCCCTACACGCCGGTCTCCAACGGCCCGACGCTGGTCGCCATCGAGGCGCAGGCCGACTACATCTGCGCGTTCATCGACCGCTACCAGATCGAGCCCATCCACTCCATGGCCCCGAAGCGCGAGGCCTGCGCGGCGTTCACGGCGCATGTGGCGGCCGTGATGCACAAGACCGTGTGGACCGACCGCTGCCGCAACTCGCACAACAACTACGCCATCGGCGGTCGTACCCCGACCACCTGGCCCGGGAGCACGCTGCACTACCTGGAGGCCATCCGGGAGCCGCGCTACGATGACTGGGACCTCCGCTACACGGGCAATCGATTCGCGTGGCTGGGGACGACGGGCATCTCCCAGGCCGAGTGGGACGCCACCGCCGACCTGGCCTATTATATCCGCCAGGCCGATGACGACGCCCGCTGGGCGAGTCGGTGGCGGCGCAATCTCGCAATTGCCAAGACGGGCACCATGATGCCGCCTCGCATCCTGCACAGGCAGGCGAAGCTGGCGGCGAAAGAAGACGATCGCCCAGACCGGCTTCAGTCTCGTGCGGAGTCCCCAGAGGTGGACCTCGTTCTCAGCCAAGCTTGAGCGGCCTCTGGGTTGGCGTGGGGGTGGTGCTTGCGGCTTCTACATGTGCAAGGATTGTGTGTTGAAGGAGGTTTTATAGGGAAATTATCATCTGGAGTCGAGGCCCGGTTTACTCGCAAGTGCTTCGTAATATATATGTCACAATACAAATGTTCACAGGGGCTTTCTGTTATCAGGATAGATCTGGTCCTATGAAGTCGGTGGACGACACTACACCTTGTTAAAACAAATCTGCTGGGCATTCAACTACATGCTGCAACTCGGTAGGATTCAAAGTATGAACTTCGTGACCCTCAAACCACTGAGACAATATCATTCAGATGGAGCTGTGCAGACAGAATACCGCAAGCCTTTCGTTCTAGAAGTGAGAACAAGCGGGATGTTCATTAATTTACTTCAGGAGTGCATATGACGATTCGCAACCTCAGTCGACAATCTAGGGCCTAGAGCAGCAGTGCTGCACACCTCCCATGACTCTCGGACTCAACAACTACTCCAGACGTACGAGATGGGTGTCACGAGAAACCCTTGGATCCGTAGGTTCTGTTCATGCTCTGAATTTGACGAATAGCGTTCTGCTCGTTGATAGCTTGGCAAAGAAACCCGTAGATCAGACCGTGCAAAACGTCACAAAACTCGCTGGGGCAATTAATGCCATCGGCATTCATTGCATCCCTAGAGAGGGAATCGTGGGGCCCGTGCAGCTTATTAAGAACTCGATGGGCGCGCTCGCACCACTTCTCTGAGATGTTCGCTTCTGGGGCTTGGAAATGGTTTGGGAGGATGTGTCCGGTGACTTTGTTGACGAGACCTACGCCGGATTTCTTCGGCTCATTTTGCTTCTTGCGGCTCGTTGGGCCTTTCGACGCATAACAGGGGCAGGGGCCATGATATTCTCTCAGTTGGTCCACACGAAATGGGGCCGGACATACCTGTCTGGGCGAACTCCTGGCTGCTTTATATGTGCTTCGATGCTTCTGTGCTTCTGTGTTCGAAGCGGATCCTGTCACTGCCTGGTAGGCAGCAGTGGCACCTCTGACGTGCTCGTGGACACATACCATTGACCTAGAATTTCGCCCTACCTAGTAGTGATTGGAACCATTAATTCGAATCAATTGGTCGATCGATCGATCGATCGATCACCTTGCTGGTTGCAGCGGGTCGCGCTTGCCGCGCCAAGTCGGAATCGTGCGGCTCTTGGAGAAAGCTAGAGGGCGAGAGAGACCCTCACTCGAGTGACGCCACTTGCTACCGCAACCTGACTGTGCCCCGCTTCGATCCCTAATTTATATGGCTGCAGACCACAAGAAACACCAAGTGCTCAACCGGGTGGTTGAACGCCTGGCCCGGACAGTATGGTCCAATCTAGACAGTCTCGTTTCACCTATCGCCATCTCCGACTGTTACAACAAGCCTCACCAAAAAGCCCGCTGCGCGTCATTGCCCTAATTGATTACGATGCCTTCTATGCCCAATGTGAGAGCGTCCGCCTCGGCCTTCCGCCCACAGTCCCGCTGGCCGTGCAACAGTGGAATGCGATCATTGCCCTCAACTATCCGGCGCGGCAGTATGGCCTGACTCGCGGCATGTCCGTGGATGAGGTCAAGGCCAGATGTCCGGACATAGTATTACAACATGTTGCTACTTGGCGGGAAGGATCCTCCACCTGGGGCTATTGGCCAGACGTGCTGCAGAGAATGAAGACAGACAAGGCTGCACTGGATCCGTACCGACTGGAGGCCCGCCGGACCATGACACTGGTACGCGAATCGCTTACCACGTCTCCGCTCCCAATCGAACGGGCAAGTATTGACGAGATCTTTCTTGATCTTTCTCCTCTCGTGTATCAAGAGCTTGTGGCTCAGCATCCTGAGCTACAGGTTTCGCCTAGCCCCGATTTAGATGTGCATCTCCCGCTCCCCCAGTTGAAGAAAGGACTGGAGTGGCATGGCGCGCATCTCTTAGGAAGTCGAGCAGGGCAACCTGGTGATGAAAACTCTGCTCGGGACTGGGACGAGATTGCGCTCAACGTCGGTTCACGGATTGTCAATCAGGTGAGGCAAGACATACTGCGGCAGCTGAAATATACCAGTTCAGCGGGCATCGCGTCGAACAAAATGCTGGCAAAGCTCGCCGCCGGCCGGAACAAGCCCAACGGGCAATCGGTGGTGCTGCCCGAAGCCGTGTCGAGTTTCCTCTCCTCATGCCCAGTCAAGAACATTCGTGGCCTTGGACGAGACCTTGGCCGTCACCTGGTGCAAGCATTCCAGACGGATCAGGTCTCTGCCCTGCGCTCACTGAGCCGGTCGCAGTTGCAGTCTATCTTAGGCTCGGAGGCCGGATCTTGGGTCTACAATGTCATCCGCGGTGTCGATGAGAGCGAGGTGGTATCTCGCACGCATACAGAATCAATGTTATCGGCCAAGACCTTTGTTCCGAGGCTCCCGGCCGATCGAGCGAGTCACTGGCTCCGTATCTTTATTGTCGACCTGCTCGGCAGGATTCACGAACTCGAGGCCGAGGGGCATGAACTGCGCCCGACGACCCTCACGTTGTGTCACCAGATGAATGGCCGGTTCGGTCCGGGGCGCTCAAGACAGGTGGCGATTTCCCCGGCGATGCCGATCTCGGAGACTTCACTGATGACCGCTGCGGACCCCCTGTTGACGAAATTCACCAAGGATCCCAACCTGTGGCCTTGTCAGGGTCTGTCACTACGACTCTCGGGGTTTCAGATCAAGCCACTACGCAAACGCACCATTTCATCGTATTTCAGGCGATCAGACGTCGCCAAGCAGGTCGAGTCAGTGGAGGATGACCGTCACTCGCAGGCAGGTAGCTACCATTGTCCCCATTGCAATCGATCCGTCGGTGCGTCTGCAGCTATAGAGCATTTGGACTGGCATCTGGCCGTGCAGTTATCGCAAGATGAATAAACACAGGCAGTCCAGACAACATCTTTAGCCCGGCTCTGATGCGCCACTCAGCCATGAACACCCAGTCCGTTGATGTGCCGAATCCAGTATCAATAAATTTGTGCTCAAGCATGAAAGGATGCCGAGGTTGGAAGCCCTTACTGTGACGGGTTCTTCTGAAGTGGGAATGGGAAAAGCCGCACAATCTCTGTCGCGAGCAGCCTTTAAAATCTTGGCCTTTCAAGATATGTCGGGATATTCTTGTCTTTCTCGTGCCAAGAACCAACAGAGCCGATTACCTTATGAACTGGGTAGGGGCATCAATCATGGCGAGAATAGTTTCGGAGAGTCTGATCCGATATAACTTGACCTATCCACTCTACCCGTCAAAAACGCCCAAGCAATGGGCGATGAAAGCCAGGAATTATTCACGTGCTGTACTTCGAGTCTGAGAGTCGAAACTAGCAACCTCGTCTTGACCACTTTCCCCGTGCTTTTCATTGACAAGCGCAAAGCGGTACCGGGCCTTGTCGGCATCCATCTTCTGGATGGCTCGATTGGCCTTCTTTATAGGCATCATTTTTAAGCCAAAACTGCAATTTTCAACTTACAGTAAGCTCCAGCATCTCCCAGATCTTTCTCAGCCCTACTACTAGTAAGCCCCTAACTTTCAGCCGGCGGAAGACCAGAGCTTCCGCAAAGCCTGCCAGGGTACGGTCTTCAAACACACCAAGCTGATAAAAGCAGCTGTCGGTTTTCGGCAGAAAGAGGTAATCCACCACGAGGTTCGAAATGGATTCAGAAGAGGCAACCTTCCTCTCGGGAATTTCCCGGTGTCTTGAAGGAAATGCCATCAACAGGTGGGAAAAATCTCTGTTTACCAAGCGAACTCATCGTGCTATGTCCCTTCAAATACCTCGTAAATCGAGAATGTATCTGAAAGCTTGATTTCTCGACTTCTATGTGATTCAGAATAGTTTACGTCCCGAGAACTCTGCAGGCGTGATAGTAGCAAGGGCGGGTCCAGGATACTGGGAAAATATACATACAGGCCATTCACAAGGCTGCAGGTGTAATGAGAAAGAGTAAGGCATTTGTGTAGAGACAGATATAGACAGGACAGTTACAAAGCCTGTAGCCGGGTAGAAGACTTTTGTGAAGGTTGGACTCATTCTCCCTGTCGAAGTTGAAAAAGAATGAGATGCCCAACCACCATCATCCTCTCTGCATTGCCCTGGTCAGAATATAATCACCGGGTAACAAGCATCGGGTCGATGTTGCGTGCTCGATCTTACTTCCCTTATTCCCCCAAGCTCACCACCGTGGGCTCTATATTTCTTATTCGTATCCGCTTGCCTGCAGCTGTCGAACAGAACAGTAGGCAGGGATTTGTTGGATCAGAGGAAGAAATCTGTAGAGAGAGACATAGTACAAAAGAGTAACTGTTGAGTATGAGATAACAAATGCATAACACCAGTGGTAAGAGTGGTGACCTCGCCACTCGAACTTTCCAGACCTACTTGGAGATGAGAGCAGAATTGCTGCCTGAGTCATCCCTCGAGAGCCCGCTATCATCACGTGCCGCGCCACCGCCTGGATCTCTCACCCCGGATAAGAAACTCCTCTCCCCGTCGACGGTCACCACTGCACCTCCACTGCATCGTCACCCACACCTCCCAATCCTCACCCAGAACCCGCACACAAAATGACAGACACACAAGATCCAAGCACCGCAGCTGTAGCCACAACCGCACCAGCACCAGCACCACTCTTCAAAAAACGCGGCGCCAAAGCCCAAACGAACCTGCGCAAGAAACGCGCCGCGACGCCGCCCTCCGCCTCCGACGCCTCCTCCTCCTCCTCCGAATTCTCCTCCGACGAAACCACCAACATCAAGCGGCGCAAGAAGAACGCCGGCGTCGTGAGCGCCTCTTCGGCCGCGCGCAGCACCACAACCCCCAACGACCCCGTCACCACAACCACAATTACAGCCACCACCACCGCCCCGCCGCTCCTCCCCGACACCAACGACGCAACCAAACAATCCAACTGGTACGACGAAACCGAGACCACCAGCGCCGCCAACCTGCTCGGCAAAACCCGACACCCCCAACCCTCCCTCCCCCACGAACCCGACGGAACCTACAAAGGCCTCGCGCACCAAACCCAACAAACCTTCATCCGCCGCAACCCGGACGCGCCCCCGAAAAAGGCCGTGGGGCCCGTCCGCGCCCCCACCAACGTGCGCATGACCACGTTCACGGACTACGCGCCGGACGTGTGCAAGGACTACAAGCTGACGGGGTGGTGTGGGTTCGGCGACAACTGCAAGTTCCTGCACGACCGGTCGGATTACAAGGCGGGGTGGGAGTTGGACAAGGAGTGGGAGAATGTCACCAAGGGGAGGAAGGTGGTTGGGACGGTGGTGTCGGATCGGGCGCGCGGAGGAGGAAGCGGAGCTGCGGACAAAGACATGGACGACGAGGATGCCGAGTTGGAGGAGATCCCGTTTGCGTGCATCATCTGTCAGGGCCCGTATCGCGAGCCGATCGTGACCAAGTGCGGGCATTACTTCTGCGAGGCGTGCGCGTTGAAGCGGTATCGGAAGGATCCGAGTTGCGCGGCGTGCGGGGCGGCGACGAATGGGGTGTTCAATTCGTCGAAGAAGTTGAGGCGGTTATTGGAGCGGAAGGCCGAGAAGCAGGCGCAGCGGAGGAGGGAGGCGGAGGAGAACGGGGAGGTGCTGAGCGAGGATGAGGAGGATGAGTAGGGGATGAGTATATGATATGCACATATGTATGGAGATTATGATATCGTCTTAATATGATTGAATGCCTTGAGGGCCAAATCGTTCATCTCCGTATATTGTGTGCCACCGACGTAGCCGCAGTTGTAAACATTAGAAAGTATACGACCAGGTCTACAGCAAGTAACTCCCCCCCGTCTCCTCATGGATCACATCGAACAGCGGCTTCGCACTGAAATACCCCGACCCGGGCCTCCCCACGGTCTTGTATGTGAACGCTGCATCGGCATCATCGATCTTGATCGTCGCCCCGCCGCGCCCCGCCGCCGCCGCGTCGGCCAACAGCTGCGCATGGCAGCACTTCTCCAGACTGACGAACCAGAAGACCGTCGCCTCGATGCTCGTGCCCACGGTCAACAGGCCGTGGTTCTGCAGCAGCGCCGCCTTCTTGTTCCCCAGCGCCTTGGCGATGTTGTGTCCCTCGTCCTCCGACAGCACGACCCCGTTGAATTGTTTGTAGACGACGTGATCCTGTATCGTCCCCCAGATTAGCTTGACTTTCTGCGACACACGGCGGGGTGTAAGGGTTCTATACGTTGTAGAACGCGCACGAGTCCTGCGTGATGATGTCCAATGGCCGACCGAGGGCGCAGAACGATCGCCCGTAGATGCTGTGGCTGTGCGCAGCGCACAGGACGTCGGGCCGGGCGGCATGGATCGCGGAGTGGATCATGAAGGCTGCAGCGTTGAGGAGGCGGACCGGCCCCCCGTCGAGGATCTTGCCTTCATGGCTGACCTGGATGAGGTCGGAGGCTTTGATCTGCGAGAAGGCCACGCCGAACGGGTTCACCCAGAAGGTGGTCGGGTCGACAGGGTCGCGGAGAGTGATGTGGCCGGCCACGCCTGCTAGGAGATCAGTCTTGATGGAGGAGATGAGAGACGCAGAGGGTAGAAGTGAATAGGCAACAAAAGATTACCCTCATCGTATCCATTCTTCCCGAAGATGCGGAATGCAGCGGCGAGTCGGCCCTTGAGGTACTCTCGTTCCTCGTACTTATCTTCGAAGACAGGGGGCTTGGGGTATTGGGAGGTCTGGTTCTTCACTGTCGCCGCCTCCATACCATCCTCTTGGGAGGACTGGCGGGTCTGAAGGGTGACTTGGGACGTTTGGGTGGTCGATGTCTCGGTTGAGCTGGGAGGTGCCATGGTGAGGGTGTACTGTGTATGTACTGTACTTCGAGATGGTGGAAGAAAAAAAGGATGTGGACTGCTTGCGCGGTCGCTGTGCAATGAAGGGTCGGAGGTTGGTAATTGGAAGTCAGACCGCCACCCTAGTTTATATGCTCATGCATTGACACCTCATGCACGCCTTTGGATTGACTACCAGGTATGGTGTGCTGCTGCTGCCGCCTTGGGCGGGGTAGCATAACCGATCCTGGCCTGCGACCGAGGCTACTCCGCGTCGCATTCTTGGGTTCGAGTGCGGAGAATTGTCTCCACTGGACGCTTGGGGCGAGGCCATTGTTGATCAATCCTACCTTATCATCCAGTTTGAGGTCTGACGTGGCGAATATTGGCGGGTTTCTCTAGGTCACGGCAGTATCTGTGAAACTAAGATGGGAAGCTGATTCGATGTAGAAACTCCTCATGGGAGGCGGTGTAATCGGATGTAATCAAGGGCATATCAACTAGAGATGTGCAACATGGCTGTTATCTTCGATATATACAACAGCCCTTGAGACCGCAAGATAGGAAGGTGGAGATCAAATCCATCATCCATGATAAGGGAGCACAAGGCCCACACCGGCGGTTCCCAATCACATCCGCTATAATGGCAATCGCGTCCAGGGCAAACCGCGCGACTTTGCTTTGAGCATCTCGTATGCTTTCTGATCGCTCTGGCTCCTGCTTCTGATCCCCTGTTTGACTGTAGGGATCCCAATCAATGGCTTCAGGTCAGCCTCGCAGACCGTATCGGACAGTGGCAGCTCCCCCGTTTGGAAATACTTCCGAATCGCCTGGTCGACACAAAGTGACGGGGCGGCCAAAGTAGAATGCTGCGGCTTGTCAGTCTCTACGCACCCTCTGCATGTGTGAATTGCGATTCGCACTTACTCCTTCCGAGTCCTGCTGCAGGACTACAGAGCCAGGAAACCTCTGTGACATTTTCTGCGCACTGTGCAACTTTAGTAGGAGTCGTAACGAGGCAAGGGGGACTCTCACCTGCGCAGAGGTGTCACCGGGTCTAGCATGTTGTTTACAAAAAGCAGGGGATGAGACGTATTGCCTCCTACAGGTGCTATGCGACATTAGACTGATGTGAAAGGTGCACGCAACAAGAGGACGTACCTTTGAGTTGCCATTTGGGTGAAATATTCCACCCCACGCATCCCATGCGCAGGCTCGCCCAGTAATCTGCAATCATGGAACTATCCTCTTTCAGGGCCTTCCAATATCGATGGAAATCCTCTTGATCCGTATTCTGCAGGTAGACTGCATCCGTACACAGCACCGCCGAGCTGGCATATGCCTCGTTCTGACCCGGCACCTGGCAAACTGCCGACCATGGCCCGGCTTGAACACATTGATCAGAGGGACACGACGGAGAGCGAGCGCTGCTCTTCATATCCGCCACCCCCGACCCATCTCCTCGGGTTAATTCACTTGCGAACTGGGCAAGAGGAGGAAAGCCCTGTATGGGCTGGTACATGGCCAGGCGCAGGATGTTTTTCAGGTCGCTCCAAGTCACAAGTTCCGGACCTCGAGTAGGAGATGCTATGACGGGCAGTGACGCATTATATAATGCATCCTCGAGGTCAAGATACGCTTGCTTGATGGCTGGTGCTCCACCTGAGATGTAGAATGGACACTGTTCTGGTCCGACCGTGTCGCAGTACTGCGCAAACCGATCGAAGATAGCATCAGCATCCTCAATGGCACTGAGGCCATCATCAAAAAAGTATTTGTCCGCGTCGACCACCGCATCCAGCACAGCACGTTCTACGCGATCGGGGAAAAGTGTGGCGAATGTCGCGCCCAAGACAGTCCCGTAGGATCGGCCCCAATACAACAATTTTTCTCGACCTCGCTTCCACTTTGTCCGAGCCACGATTACCTGGTGCTGGTCGTGGCCGTCGATTCGATCCCGCCGTCGCTGTGCTTCTACACCTTCTTTCTCACGCCACTCTCCATGCCGCTCAATGATTTCCAGCATGTCCCGAGCGACCGGAAGCGTGTTCATGTGTTCTCCCAGGGCCTCCTCTCCATCCTCAAACGGAGTGGACAAGTTGATCGAGCATCCCATATTGAGAGCGACCGAGCGCTCCCAGTTGCGACGAAACGCGCCGTCTGCGCTTCCCAGCATGCCTTCAGCCGCCACCTGCAACTCCCAATTCCTTTGCACGAATATGTTCGGGAAGCAACTGAAGCCCGGGGTCGTATTGTTCACCCCGCGAGGATCAAATCCGATGACATCGTAGTATTTGTGGCGCACGCTGTCTCCAAGCGGCTCAATAGTGGGATCTGCCTCTGCATCCATAGTGGCTTGCAGATTTCTCCCGTCTATGAGCACCTCGGCGACTCCAGAACCTCCAGGGCCCCCTGCATTCGCCATGATTAGACCCTGTGTCGAGGATAGTAAAGAAGAGGGCATACCCGGGTTGACCAGTACTGCACCGCCGTAGCGTGGGTCTGTCACTGGCACCTTTGCCGGAAGACGAGTGATGGCAATCGCAAAGCGCTGGCCGAGACCATCCGAGCGATGGTAATCCATGGGCACCTCCAAACGGGCGCACTGGAACCCATCGAAGCAATCGTGATACTGTAGCGATGCGGATGGGGTGATCTAAATTTTTGGTCAACGTCAGATTCTTACCAGCTTGTACACAACCACGTACGTACCTTACTCCACGTAAATTCTGATTGTGAAGGCTCTATGGATGTGTTGCTGCGCGTCGACACAGGTGGCATCCACCATGCATACCCAGCGAGGCACACTAGTACCACCCATAGAGAGTTGTTTATGCGCAACCGTGCAATTACATTGGTCCTCGTTGACAGAAGCCGCTGGTCCGGAGGGGTTGCGATGCCGGCAGTCTTGAGACGTTCCATCGGTTGCACTAGCCTGGAAGACCTGAAGACAACCACGACCTACCTCACTATTGAATATGTCTTGCGGGACAGGAGGGTCCCGCTAGATAAATGCGCAGTAGACATGGTCGTTGGCTGAGAGGCTGCTGGCTGAGGTGCAAACTTCATCCGGTTTCCTGTTAAGGGTTGAAGCAAGCCACTATCTATCATCTGCAGGTTTTAAAGCGGGCCCACAAATGGCGAGCGAGAGATTTCCAATCGAGGCTAGAAATGGGAGAGATCAGCTGTCAGATTTGGGATGAAATGTGTCTCGAGTATAAGCCGCTATCGTCGATTGCAGCTCAAGTGGATGCCAGTTCCCCTCAGTCATTCGCTAGTTGCTCCCTCACATTCAATCAGTTTGTGACGGTGCATAAGTTACCTACTGACTACTAGGGAGGTAGGCCACCACTCTGCGCCGTCGATTTGCGCTTCCCGCCAATCAATAATGGGTCGACCGGCTTTATCTGTCCGATAACCACCCGGAGGGTGGGTCACATTAGGGGATTCATCCGAAGTATGTATGTGCGCTGTCACGCTAATAGACGTTCTTGGCTAGGTTTGCTACACTCTGCGCATTACTGTCCCTTGCGGCGATGTGTTATATGAGTTCTGACTCCATCACAGGTCGGATCATGATAGTCGCTAATGGAGGGCTGGCTCTGCAGGCGATTTTGGGCTGATGTCGGAGGCGATCCTGCAGACGAGGGCGAGCTAACAACTCTTGTCTTTCTGTCAATTGACCGATTCAAAGCAGAGCATGCCACCACTATCCTCACCCTCTTCGTGTTGACTCAAAGTCGTACATTCTTCAACTCCATCGCCTCGTCGGTCTCGGATGCGTGACTCAGGCCGGTGACCATGGTGAGTAGGATGTGTCGCGACAAAGGAAAGCGGCTCTAAGCAAGTTGAATCAATGGCCAGAAGATGTTAGAATCGCCGTATAGCCCAACACTGCCTAGAGAAGAGAGGGAGGAAGAAGACTTGCGCTGCCACTGTGTACAAACGCGTCGCGACCCCGCGCCAGATCACGTGGTGACATTCATCCACCTCTTTCTTCATTGGGTAATAGCATTGAGACTCGTCGACACTGACTGCCTGGACACCTTGCAGATCCCATGAATAGCAACTGAAATATAATGAGGAAGCTTGATAGGAGTTGCAATCATTCACTCAATCATGCAGATGCAGTTGACAAATTGTCTACTCTGTAATTATACGGATACTCCGCAGTGAATCCAAGGCTTGCCCCGCACGCACTGCCCAAAACGGCTACCTTATCAGTAATCATGGACATGGATTCAATCGTCCACCTCATCATGGAGAGTTCCTCCGAGCTATCCGGCTCCAAATGGCAATGATCTGATAACGTGCTGATGTTTGCAGCATGATCCCATACTTGTCGATCTTCACCAGGATCTGCACGGTCGGAGAGACGCCGCTCCAACTCCCTTGCTGGCAATGACTCCCCCACCGGGCTTCTGTCACATTCATTAGCTGATGTCTTCGGCTAATCCGGTGATTCATCATCTTTTCTCTTCGCTATTCTTCTGCAGGTAGCGGGCACAGCATTTCCTACTGCTATTGTCGACCAGCTTCCGATTCACACAAAACTCTTCTTGATCTGGCTAATGTGTGGTTGACGGCTAGGAACAAACGGACCAGAACCATAGCACTTGCTGGGCAGCATTCCGGAACCACCGCCATTCCTCGGACCCCGATTGAACGCCTATCACGGATATTATCATTTGGCCGTGGATCTCGCGAATAAAGCCTGTCATTACAATGGCCCGTTGGCGCCAGTATTTCCGATCCCCTGAAAACCACGGGGAGATCCAGGGTTCCCCATCATACTTGGATTGGAAGACGGATGATATCGATATCACGGTGGTGGAATCCACCCCAGCCACGCAGGATAGCACTGGGGCTGCCAAGATTCAGGCTGCAGAAGCTGTGGGTGGAAGGAAGGGCAGGTATCTGCTTTATGCGGGGTATGTGATATGTTCTATGGAATGAAGAGATTAGGTTTATGCTGACGGCAACAGGTTGGCGATGATGATGGTCATTTAGTAAGTTGTATCACTATTGGGAGATGTTTGCTAATCATCTTATCCAAACTTCGTAGTGAATTGGACAACGCGACCGTCGGAACTTATCGCAACTTTGCAACATCGGACTTCGATGCGCTGTCAAAGCTCGCCACCCTCAACACAGCGGCCAGCATTATCTCCGCCGTCACCAAACCGCCAATCGCGAAGATATCCGATGTTCTTGGCCGTGGAGAGGCTTATATCTTCGCTGTCTCGTGTTACATTTTGTCCTATATCCTTTGTGCTTCTTCTCGATCCTTCAATACCTACGCTGGCGGCTATGTCCTCTACTCTGTTGGTCAAGCTGGGACTTCTTTCCTCAACGCCACCATTGTGTCGGATCTCTCTTCAATGCGATGGAGAGGCTTTGCGTACAACATTCTTTATGTCCCCTTTCTGATCACCCCGTGGGTCTCCGCTTTCATTGTAGACAGCGTCGTCAATGGAATCGGCTGGAGATGGGGAAT